TGTTAGGTTTCGGCAAGTGGAGAACATAATTGTTACTCCTTAATCCATACGTTTGATTCGTACAGATTGTGAAAAACTTGCGGAGGTAATCAGTTGAATTACCTTTCATTATTTGTATCATTAATGTTTCTAATTGTTTCTCTCTCCTTGCCTGTAAGGTGTCCCACGAAAGTTTAGCTCTGACAATTTCTGAGGCAGTTTCGTAGCAATCACCTGTGATTGATTCGGCCAGCTTTATTTTGGAGTTTTTGCAACTTGTTTTGCAAAGTTTTGGAACAATTGTTCCATAATTTAATGAATGACACTCAGTTGATTTCTTTAAAAATATTCTCAACTTGCACCCCCCCCCCCCCCCCCCCCCCACTAGTCTCTTCTCACTTTTGGATGAATTACGATATTGACCTTTACAAAAAGTGGGGGTCCGCCCCCCACCAATTCCCCTCCTTCGCTACGCACCTGTATATAACTAATCACACTTTTAATGTAGATAGCCATGCCACCTCCATTTCTATTCCTATCGTTCCTAATCATATCGTAACCCCTTATATATAATTCATGGTCAGCTACAGTGTCATCTAACATAGTTTCAATTATCTAATTACATCAAATTGCTCTTGTTGTAAATATACCCTCAATTGATCAATGTTTTAACGAGACTTCTGATGTTTAGATGAGCAATTTTAAATCCTCTATTTAATTCCCACTCTTTAGTTATATTGTTTCTATTGGAGCTTTGACTTTCTGCTCCATTACTCATTGTCATTATACAGTAATTGAACTATTCTTATTACTTGTATCCTTTTGGTAATTTCTTTCTCGTCCTTAATATGTACCAATGTCATTCGTCCCAACATGTAATGTTATTCTGTCCGGTTTTGTTGTCAAACACGGTACCGGTTTTACATAGTGTTTCATTGCATCGACTTTGGCTCCCCGATAAGTTTCATTCCTAATTCTCGATCCACGAGAGTGCCACCCGTTAACTGCCCGTTGTAATCTTTTACAATCAATTTATTTTATCATCGAGTGGCCGATTAATACCGTGGTTTTGACAGTATGGCTGGACCTATTAGGCCCGGCATTAACCGATTCACTATTTTGATGTTGTTGTTGTTGTCATAATTCTCTGTTGTTATTGAATCTCGTAATTTTCATTAAGCATGTCTTAGATCTGAAATATTTTTAAGGGAACTAACACTTTCGAACACACTGAGTTCAAATCCGAAATGTTCCCGCTCCGTAGACGGTGGCCGGACATTTTGCCGAAAGGCACTTTGCCGAAAGACATTTTGCCGAACGGACATTTTGCCGACGGACGTTTTGCCGAACGGACGTTTTGCCGAACGGACGTTTTGCCGAACGGACATTTTGCCGAACGGACAGTTTGACGAACGGACAACTTGCCGAAAATAAAGAAATCTTCTGAACTTTAAAGGTTCGCTTACACGGTCAAAGTTTCCGTGATTAAAGTCTTTGTCGATTTTGATGACAGAAACTTTGTAGTGAAATATAGCGTAAGTCGGGGCAAAACGAGACGGTGGGGCTAAATGAGACGATTATGCAATAATGCTAGTTTTCGGCGTATTACCGCAGGTTTTTTATCACAAGCATTACGGGCTCATAAACAAGCATTTTTCGAAGTTATTCAACGAGGTTTGAGGATTCAAAGCTATTTCACAGCGAAAAAAATCGATTCTTTTGGATTACACTGAAGTTGGCGTCTCAAAATTGAGGTATGTTATTACTTAGCATATTTAGATAGTTTTTTATTCTGTCTAAAATACCGCAGCTAAGAAATATACTCCATTTGTTTTGTATACAAAAACATGTGGCCTTTCATGTTAAAAGTGTATTTTGCTCATGTTGCTCTTTATTTTTATCATTTTGAGCCTTTGAATTCTCCCAAGTGCCGTGGGGCTAAATGAGACAGGCCGATTTTCTTACAAGACTATACACTTCTGTTTGCTTATGGGCATTATCGCTATCTGTTGTAATGTTGTAATCAATATATATGGTATATAAAGTAGCATAGGGGTATTATACAATGTATATTAGTGTCTCAAAGTGGTGTTTTAATGCAGTAAATGTTTGTATGTACCATCATTCTACCCTACATATGTGCATCATTGCTCAAACAATTCATATTAAATAAAAATTTACTATAGATTTTTATGTCAATCTAAAAATAATCTGTGGGTACACATCAGTTGGGTTTTCTCACTTAGTTCTGTGACACCATCAGTTGACGAGGTACTTAAATAGACTTAATATTATTTTTAGAATGGTCCGAAACTACAAACGGAAGACTGACCGGGCAAATTGGTCAGAGAAGCAAATGAAGCTTGCTATCTTGGCAGTAGAAAACAAAGAGCTGTCCATAAGAAAAGCTGCCGTTGTCTTTGGGGTTCCCAAGGATTCACTAAATCGCCGAGTGCAAGGTAAGCTGAAAAGTTTATCCGCAGAGGAGAAACATAAAAATATTTTGGGGCGTTATCGTGCAATTCTCACCCATGACCAAGAGAAAGAGCTTGAAGACCACATAATCAACATGGATCAAGCTTTTTATGGTCTTTCCATAAATGACATCAGAGCCATTGTCTATGACTATTGTCAAAAGAACAATATTAAGAACAATTTCAATTCGGATAACAAAATGGCTGGTCGTGACTTCGTTGCGGGTTTTATGAAGCGCCACCCAAAGTTGTCACTTCGAAGACCAGAATCAGTGTCTGTGAATCGGGTTTTTGGTTTAAACAAGACCTCTGTGAATTTATACTTTGATAACCTGGAAACTGTGTTGGATAAACATAACTTTAAACCACATGAAATCTTTAATTGTGATGAGAGTGGTTTGACCTGTGTTCACAAACCAGTGAAAGTCGTTGCGCCAAAGGGAAAGCGATGTGTCTCCTCTGTTACTAGCGGTGAACGTGGTCAAATAACAACCATTTTAGTGGCCTATAGTGCATCAGGTACATACATTCCACCAATGATGATCTTTAAAAGTAAACGCAACCGGCCGGAGTTGGTTGATCATGCTCCTGCAGGGACTATTGGACGCTGCTCTCCAAATGGATGGATCGATGCGGACCTGTTTCTGGATTACTTGAAGCACTTTGTAACATTTACAAAGTGTTCGAAAGATTCCCCAGTGTTATTGATCCTTGATGTTCATAAAACACACACAAAGATTCTCTCCACCATAGAGTATGCTCGTGATAATGGTGTTGTCATCCTGTCACTCCCTCCACACACCTCCCACAAGCTCCAACCACTGGATCGAAGTTTCTTCAAACCGCTCAAGAGTGCTTTCAATGCAGCATGCTCAACCTGGATGCGAAACCACCCTGGCGGCAGAATCACTGTCGACAAGCTTGGGGAGCTGTTCAATGCTGCCTATTTAAAAGCTGCTACCATTGAGAATGCTGTGTCAGGATTCCGATGCACTGGCATTGTCCCATTGAACAAAAAAATTTTGCCTTCATCTGATTTCCTAGAGGACCCCCGTGTTGTTGGTACACCATCGGATGAGACCTTGTCTTCCCTTGCTAACACAGCTAATCAGAGCCCAAGCCATGAAGAAGCATCATCTTCAGAAGCACAAACCAGAGAGTCCTTTCCAGCGACTGAAGAGACTACACTAATGCCACCTGTATTCTCAGAACCCAGAAATTCTTCACCCACACAAGATGAACCACCTGCAGTCGACCACGTCAGCTTTTCAATGATAATGAAACTGCCTACCCTCACCGAGAAGAAGAAGTCAAAGAGATCTGAGGAGTCTAGGATAGTCACTAGTTCTCCATATAAACAATCTCTTGTCGAGAACATAGCTGAACAAAACAAAAAAAGCAAACGAAAACTTTCTGCCAAAGAAAAGAAGTCGAAGAAAGCTGAGGATCAACTGCCAAAAGCCAAGAAAGCTAAGACTGATAACAAGAAATCGGCAAAAGCTAAGAATGTTAACATGGACATTGAGGAAGATTCTCAATATCCCATGTGTGATGGATTTTGGACAGAGTCATTGCCTGGAGAGGATTGGGTCCAGTGTTGCAAGTGCGAAAAGTGGTTGCATGAAGATTGTTGTTGCTCTGTGACACCAACAACTGTAATATGTGACATTTGCTATGACTGTTAGATAAACTTTTATCCACTTTCCTAATGTATTTTTAACCTTAGTTTTATCCTACCATTAAAATATTTTCAAATTTTTAAAAATTTCTGTATATTTAATATTTGTCTCATTTTGCCCCAGTTCAATGGGGCAAAATGAGACATTTACTTCCGGTCGTTTTTCTTGAATAATTCCCACAATATTACCTGAAGAACAGTTTTTTTCCCTGAGTTGGTTCACTAGAATCCGTTTAACATATTAATGGTAAAAAAGTGTTTTAATATGTTTCCTTGCTTTTTTATGACAATCACACTGCTTAAGCGTCTCGTTTTGCCCCTAATATTTTCGTTTTATATATTCTTTCACGTTTTTGACAAGTTTACCGAAATTTCGCGATATAAAGAATAACATCATTCAACATCATTCGTGAATGCGATTTCCCCGAGAACTGTGAATGTATTCCATGATTCTCGAAGTGAAATTCGTTTGCGTTGTCTTTATATATACGCTTGGTTGTTTACGACCCGACGTCAAAACACGTCCCTAACAAATGAGTCATCCGCTGCACAAACAAGCTATAGTTTTGTTTTGGTGGGCATTTGACGATACACGATTTTGTCACGCAAAAGGACCAATTTCTATTAACCAGTTTTCCTTTTAACAAAATACCGGTTTTGCTCGAATCATTTTGAGTTATGCAATCTTATGCTTGTTGGACGTAAACGACAACATATCTTGTCTACAACTTCGAGAAGGTACAGATAATTCCTTCTAATATCCTTAATTCAGGATCTATCTCTATGAAATCACAAGGATGTTAATGTTAAGTCTTTGGGCTATGTCTCTGTGCTGAGAAATAATTCCTTACATGCGATCAAAATGGTTTATACAAAGATGTAAAATCATAGGCGTACGGGCACAATTTTATTTTGGGGGGGGGGGGCAAACAAAATTTGTCCGAATTTTTAAGCTGATGACAAAAGGTGTCCGAATTTTGATAATAAGACTTTTTATTTGATTTTACAAATGAATTATCTAAATTTTAACAAGTGCATTCGTCATTTAAATTGGAAGCCTGGCTAAAAGGTTTCCCAATAGAAGAAATAGCTACAGTATCTCGTTCTTTTTCGTCTACCAAATTTTACCAAAAGTATCAATTATTTTAACCATGTCGTTCTTAATAGTTCGGTTAGCGTATGTTCGATCAATGTTAATGACAGCAATAGAATTTAAG